ATGGTGATTTTGTCAATGCAATGGTGTTCAAGTGGTGCTCCAGATGTTTTGGGATTGCACCCAAGGTGCCTATTACTATCTTTGCTTTCTTTTGCCGCAGTCATTTTACTTCTATTTTCAAGTCTTTGTATTTTGTGATTTTTCTCCAGTTCTTTCTCTTCTATTCTGCTGTCTCCAGGTATTGCAGGGTCTACTATCCAGACTTTTTTGTCTTTCTTATCAACAATTGTTGAGTCTGGGGTATTAGGTGGCAGGTGCTTGTCTGTTTGAATTCTAACATCCCAGATTACTTTAGCTTCTTCATTTTGTATTACTTTGTCTGTTTTGTGGTCCCACCAGTTTTTGCTTGCAGGCAAATGGTATTTCTTGCAGATATTCCAATACACCATTGTTGCTACTTTGTATATTTGCCATGGGCAAATGGCAAACAATTTTCTTTCAGTAGTCCTGCAGCTGCTGGCCCTGGTTGCTCAGCCAGTAGTCCTGGGTCCTGTAGCCCACTTGTCACCTGATGTCCAGGAACTAGAACACCTAGCATGGTCCTTGTTGACCCGGGCTACAACCAATCCAGTAGAGGTTTCTGTAAATTACCATATTGTTTATGGGAGAAGCACTTTTCCTGTGGCTCCTCTAATGAGACCTGTCCAGTATGGTTGAACCTCTGGCATAGCTCTCATCCTCCTCGGAGCACGCAAGCCCCACAACCATGTCAAGGTAGTGCCTCACTGGGGATGATGATAATGGTGATGGTGATGATGATGATTCCTTCTTAACTTGTAAAATATCTTGGTTTGGTCCTGTTGTCCATTTGCAAAGTGCATCCGCCCTATTGGGTGAGGGGCTGGATTTTTCTCAGAGGGATAGTTCTTCTACAAAGAATGAATGAGTCTGAGCATGGCTTGAAATAAAAACCTTTGCGAAAAATTGGGAAGTTTTATAGCAGACAAGGTAGAGTCTCAAGTCTGTAAGTTAGGGCTCCAAATAATCTGCTTCCTTTTTCTCTGTCTTCTAGAGGAGCTGCTGCGATCTGAACGGGTGTCCACCAATGACCTGCTTACTACCTCCATCTCTGAGACCCGCACCACAGAGGAGTTCCTACCCATGGACAGCGGTGAGGACCTAGCTTCTGAGAGTCGTTCTTACCCACATGATGGAGAAGGTGGGTCAGTTAAGTTGCTCCTCCCCGCTGTTTCGAATCCTTGCTCGTAGAAAGAGTAGAAAGAGAAAGCTAACTAGTTCTGAAACATCTAACTAGATCTTAGCGTGCAATAAATGAAAAACGCATTCCCAATCTGACACAGATAGAATGAGAATCTTTGGGAAATAAAAAAGAAGAAAGGTTTTTAAAATCAGCAGAAGAAAAACAGTGTATCAATTCATTTTTGTTTCTGGAACTCTCTGCTGCTTCAAGTCTGTGTGTCTGCATTTGATATTATTATTATTATTATTATTATTATTATTATTATTATTATTATTATTATTA